TTTTAACTCTTATATGTAGAAAATAGTATTAAAATCTAATTTCTGGTTTGCTACTATATATAGCGTGAAAAAACCAATTCCCTATGGACTTGCATACGACGAAGTAAGGCGAGAGATGCAGCGAGCACTAAATGTGTGGGCAAAACACACAAAACTTGTGTTTGTAGAAAAAATAAACACTGACAAAGTCGACATCGTCATGTCCTTCAAGAGGTAAGTGAATTTTCTTTTTCTACTACTTATAATTTCGAAGTTTATTAAACCAACGAAGAGAGTCAGTTGAACGTATACTTACTTTTTATTTTAAAAAACTAATTTAGAAACTTCATTGGCCTAACGATTCCTTGATTTTTTAATTTTATCGCAGTTTGGTAATGAAAAACCTCTGCCAATTTATTGGCACAATTTTAAATATCACATTAAGATAAAACAAGTTTTTATTTTTTCCCAAATAAGGGAATTAATTTGCTTCAAGGTGCACCCGTCTCTTATTCCAAGACATCCAATGATAGTTGACAGTAACTGACTGTTGGATGTTAAATTTTAAATTTGAAGCACGTGAAATTGGCGATAAGTTGAATGAAATATCATTTCTTCGGGTGATGTGATTTTCAGGAAATCCCATGGTGACAAACATGATTTCGATGGCATTGGAGGTGTACTGGCACATGCTTTCTTTCCAGCGTATGGCTTAAATATCGGCGGCGATATCCACTTTGACGCTGACGAGGATTGGACCGTCGAAAACACTAAAATCGGTTCAAGTAAGTACTGTCGGGCTTATTTTTTTTCGCTTTTTTATCTTGACTCAATTTTTTTTTCTTCATACGAATATTCCATGATAAATGGTTTACTTGGAGTGTAAAAAAAAAAAACTCATTAATTACAATGACAACAATACTAACACTTTTTAATGCATTTACTGGAGAAGCCAGAAGTAACTTTACAACACTGTATCGAATGAACTGAAGTACTTATAATATGAATAAGTAAATAAGCACCTACGGTATTTTTTCTATTTGCAGAATCGCATCTGTTCTCGGCCGCAGTTCACGAACTTGGTCACTCGCTCGGATTGGGGCATACCTCGACAAATGTCAACGATGAGTCGCTGATGTTTGCTTTTTACAAACAGTTGCCTACATATTACGAATTGCCACTATATGATAGGAAAAACATCCAACTGCTGTATGGTACGTAACATCTATTATATTTCTCCTTTTTTTTTTGTCTCAGTAGGTATTAGAAACTTTGAATTTTTTAGAATGCAATTGTTTTGATAGTTGAGGATATACTAAAAGATCATTTAAAAATATTTTTTTATTAGTTTTCTTATTTTTTAAATCTGAACCTGTTACTTGGCTTGTGCTCATCGCTTATGCAACTGAAGACATTTTTTCAATTCTTTTTTTTTTGCTGCTAGAGCAAACAATGAATATTCTTACCAGCCTCTCACCACACTTCCAACATAACTACTTGTCCAAAAATTAAAACACAAAAAATAGAGACTACGTAGCGTGAACTAGTTCATCGTAAAAAAAAATCATCTGATACTTTGTTAGTTTACCGTGTTTCGACTTATTTGCGTGATTGCATTTGCGTACTTTAAAAAAATGCGAAATAAATTAAGCCATAAAAAAAAAAAAAAAAACTTTTTTAAATAATATTGCACAAAATTTAATTTTTAAAATAAACTTTTCAGGAGTTCCAGAAATTAAACGAGGAGAAAAGAATTCTCGATTTACTACCACGACGACACAGATACCTAAGCCTCGATCTAAGCCAAAATCGCTGCAAAGACAAATAAAACTGAGACACAAACATAATTCGTTAAGTTCAATGTCTAACCACATTATAAAACCCCAAACAACCACGCGTCGACCCACCACCAACTATGAGGAGACCCGGGGATGTCATCTCGGGAAGTACGACGCCGTGAGCCTCTTAAGTGGGTCGTTATGGATATTTTCCGGAGAAGTGAGTCATTTATATACATACTACGTATCGTTAATCAATTATTTTCATCGAGTAAAAGGAGTGTTTTATGGTTTCTTGATTAAAATTATGTGCTAAAATAAATATATTCGCAGTATTTGTGGTTGGTGAGAGATATGGAAAACCCTACTTACAAGGAGTCAACCAGAATAGATGGTTACTTCAAATTCAACAAACAAATCGATCACGTGGACGCAGTTTATGAAAGGTCTGATGGTAACATGGTGTTTTTTATTGGTCGTGAGTACTACATCTTCAATAGGCCCAATGTTTTAATATATTCCGGGCCCCTCACCGATTTTGGCTTGCCTCGTAATCTAAAAAAAATTGACGCTGCCATGATCTGGAAACACGACAAAGGGACTTACTTCATTAGCGGAATGAGTTACTGGAAGTATGTGTATTATTATGTGTACTCTTCTGGTTACAAAAAATTCTTTTTTAATTTTATCTTATTTTCTCTCGTCATTTGAGATAACTTACATTTTTTTTTGCAACATGGAAATTTTTTTAATAAGTTTAAGTATTAGAAAAAAAAAAAATTCAGTAAATTGTTCTAACTTTATTCAATTTCATTTAATAATTTTTCAGTGGATTAAAAATCAATATAAAGTTTGAAAGATTATTTCTTTAAATTTTTAAAAATAATAAAACATTCGAACAGAAAATCAAAATGCATCCGGTGGCATGTGTTTGCTTGTTTCCGGGTTTATACTACAACGAAGAGATTTGTGGGTAGATAGCTAAAAAATAAAATCTGGGATTGAATAGACACCGTATATTTAAATGTGATTATATAATACTTCATTCGCGTACTTGTAAATGCTTTTATTCGTAGAAAGATGAAACAAATTATTAAGTATATTTTCCTGGAGATCATGTACAGAATAGAACATATGTATTTTTATTTTATTAATACAATTAGTCTCATTTTTAATTCAATATTTTTATTATGGCAAAGAAGCATAGTTTCTATCAATAGTACTGTGACGGTCCCACTGGTTTGCTTATTTTCTTAAGATACATAAGAGTTATGAAAAAATTATC